AAAATATGTTTAAAAATTTTATGCTTGATTCAAACTTAAAAGTCGATTATATATAATTTAAAATATTCAGTTAAAATTTTAGATTATAATTGAATATTGAAAGCAAAGCATGGATTTTCAGAAATAATTGAATTTTCAAAAGGTTTCAGATTAAAATCTTTGAAAATTTGAACTTTTCATACTTTTATAATCAAGAATTGTGTAGAATTAATTTTTTTCAAAAAGTTGAATCGATTTTTTTTTTAATTATTTCAAGTTTTTAATTTCTAATCTATCTAATTGAAGAATGTCATCAGAATTATCGAAATTTCGCAAAATTAAATATTGTAAACAAAAGAATTTGTAAATTCTCAAAGAATTTTTTCAAAAATTATTTTAAAAAATTGACTTAAGGAAGAATTTTAGTTAAAAATTCTAGAAATGAATGATTAAATCGAAATGATGAAAATATTTTTAAAAAAGTTACATCAACAATATTCTTATGATAATTTTTATAATAATGATTAAATATTTATTTAAAAATGAAGTTAATGATGTTTTCGAAAAGAAATTCGTAAATAAATGTAATAGAACATTTTTTTTGTATATTTAATGATTCTGTGAGTGGATCAAAATATTCTTTAGAGTCAGGAAAAAAGTTAGTTTTATCTGGAAATCAGGGAGTTATTTAATTTGGTAAATTATAATTGTAGTTCTAAAAACCTGGAAAAGTGAGGAAATGTGATAAAATTTGAATTATAGAGAAAAGCGTGGCAACCTTGAGAAATTAGGAAATTTTACTCCAAGTATAGTAGAGAAATAATATCCAACTTCTATAAATGTTCCAATTGTTAAAAATACATATAAGAAATGAAAATAAAAATGGACTCTTTCTCGTAAATAAAAGGCGGTAAAAGTAAAACTCTGGACTTGGAAAACAAGTGGTCATCATTAAAGTCTTTACATGTGGGATGAAGGGGAAGGGGAAGGAGCAATAGAAAAGTGCTTGTTGAGTGCAAGGAAGAGTAGTGAGGAGATAAGAAACATAACAGCCAAAGAGCGACTTCTGGGGTGAGGGCTCAAGTAATGAGCCAAGAGAGGAAGCGCACTCACGTGCTTCTCTTGTCTATACGCATTATTTAGTAATAGAAACACGGCGACTTGTAGCTGTGGAAATTATAGTTTAGGAAAGAGAAGGAGAGAGATAGTATAGTGTGTGGCTGTGGCTCGTTCGGTCAATGACATCAATAGCTGGCACTTACCTTCTGTCTCATTTCTTTTGCCGTTTGCATCTCCTCTCTGACTCTGACTCAACACTTACTATTACGTAATTCAACTATATTCCCTCTATATTCCTCAATTAATGCAATAAAATTGGATTCGACTCTTTTCACATGTGTCGAGAGAATTTTGTCCAATCTTTCAAATTCTTATATTGCATCAACAATTTTTTCTCTTTCATTCTTGTTTAAAGAGAATCATTTTTATTTGAAGCCTCTGATAAGCAATAAGAATTTTCAAATTTTATTTTTCCTACGAAATTGGAATTGAACCTTTAGAGGGCTGGTAAATTTGCACAAATTTCAGTAGTTTATTATTCAAAATAATTTATAAATAAATGGCACCCCGGCCCTCTAAAGGTTAAATTTTGATAATATATTTCAACTTTTTAGTTCCGAACTTATAACGCAATGTAAATTTTATTATTTTGAATTTCATGTTTAAAACTTGATTTTGAAATTTTGTCTCAGTTTTGAAACAAACCGAAATTAAACTTTGAACATATTCTGTTTTTGATTTCAAAGCAAAATCACGTTCAAGTTTTTGCAAACTAATTTAAATATCAAAACGATTAAAACTAAAAATTCGGTCTTGTTTTAAAAGTTTAAAAAAAAATTGAAACTACCAAATTAATTAATTAAAATTTTTAATTTCCCTCTAAAAAATTTCTTTTAAAAATTTAGGAAACTCATCATGTTGAAAGTAAAAATTTAAATTTGAAATTCCACTTCTTGTTTTCGTTCTTTGAAAAAGGAAAATCAAATTTAAAATTTAATTCCTATTTTTCAATGTGAAGGAAATTAAATAAGATTTTGAATGCACCTTTTCCGTTTTAAAGTAGAGTTGAAATTAAATTTTACGTTTGAAGTGAAACTAAATTACATCCTGAACTTATAGTTTCTGGTTAAATGGCAGTAGAGAATTTAATTAATCTACAATGTTGTCTTTCAAGTGTAAATTTCGAAATTTAAATTCAATTTTGATTGTTGTTTCGCTTCTTGTTTATAAATTTAAAATCCGAGAAAAACTACAGTTTCCTATTTATTATTAAAACAAAAGTTTCAAATAAATAAATTTCACTATTTTCGACTCATACACGCGACTATTGTGTTATGGAAAGAATTCAAAAAAATTTCTTAAAATTCTTTAAAACTATTCAATTATTTTCACAAATTTTTCGTAATTCAATGATTTTTATTATCTACTACTTTAATAAAAAATTTCCCAAAAGAATTGAAGAATTTAAAAAAAAATGTTTATAAAATTCTTCGCAAACGTTCAATTATTTTCATAAATAAAAATTTTCCACGAGAATTCATTTATTTAAAGCAGAATTTTTCTAATATTTTTTGCAAAAAATCAATTATTTAAATAGTTAAATTTAATATACAAATATAAATTATAAAATTATTATTTCTAATATTTTTAATATTTTTTTTATTATTAAAATTATTATTAATTATAAAAATTAGTTTTTGTCAGTTAAACTTAAAGGACCCCTGAAAAGTATAAATTTTATTATTTTAGCATTAAATAAATTGGAATAAGAAAATGTTGGTATAAAAATTAGTATAAAATTCTCTTGAAACGTATAAAGAGATAGGTGAAATTGACATTAGAAATAGTAAAAGAGTTGACGCAGAAGATTTGCCACTGTAAATACGGTAAAAGAATTTAATTTAAAATTTGTTGTCAGCGTTAGAATGAAGAGTGTATTTCAAAGTCGATTCATTGCAAATATTTGAAAACTGTTTGGGAGGTAATGCCACTTTTGAATATTTCATGGACCAGGTGAAAAGTGAATATTGTAGTCGCGAGATTACACATCCTCCTTGATGGAGCAAGGCAGATTTGTGACGTTAAATCCTCTCAGAATCCTTGGAGATTGGAGAACGTCTTTCAAGTATAATTTCGCGACAGTCTGATTTAACTGGTAAAATGCGCCAATGCGCGCCTCTGACAAAAGCCCGTATTAAATCGAATTCAACATCTCAAAGGCGTCTCTCTCTCTCTCTCTCTCTCTCTCTCTCTCTCTCTCTCTCTCTCTCTCTCTCTCTCTCTCTCTTTTTCTTTTTCTCCCTTCTCTCCTTGCCTCTCTCGACAAAATTATTTTAGTTTCTATTCTTCCTAATTTTTCTATTATTTATCGAAAACAAGAAAATTACACGTTTTCAATTATAATTATGTTTGAAACTGTTAACTCCAGTATTAGATAATACTGGACAGAAAAATAAAATTAATAAATAATGTCGAAGAATAAAATATATTCTTGTTGTACAATGTATCGTAAGACCTAAAATTATAAAACGTGGCAGAATTAATGAACGGTTTCGTGTGTTGCATTTTAGAGATGATTTATGAACAAAGTTTATTGTTCATCTACAAACGGGTAGAACTCGTATGTCTTGTCAATTATTCATGACACTCCCCCTTTTACCTCGAAAAACGCTTCTAGGTCTCTTCGTTGGCTCATTTCCAAACTCAAATCGCGAAAAAAAAGAATGAATGAATCTTTCGGGGCATTAGTGCATTCAAACATATTACGACTGTTTTCAACATTTCTCTCTTTCTTTTTCAAATAATTATTATTGTTTTGTGGTAAAGCGAAGGCCTAATTACCGCTTTCAGGCCTTTTTATTACGAAATAATTAAAAACAGGTTTTAACAAAAAGCAAACAATAATTAAATTGATAATAAAATATCTGCTATCATGGTTCAAACATATTTTCAAAAATTACAGATTGTAGAAAAAACTATTTGTACCTAAAAGTAAATTCTACTTTTAAAAGTATTCTTTAAAATTCTATTTTTTAAAAATATAAAATTTTGAGGACGCAATAATAATAAAAATTCGGAAGTGATAATATAAACAACAATAGATCAATGAAAATTCTCATGTACATTACGTCTCGTTGAATGACGTGAAAGATTAATTTGTGTATTATGAATATGGCATGCGATAAAACTGATTAACGATTTATAAAAATGATTAATGATGAACGATATTATATTCTTCTCATCAATTTCAATATGCAATTCTCCTCTATATTCCATTATTGGAAAAATTGTTTTTGTCCTGTTTTTTCATTTCAAAATTATTTAACATTTCATACATTCTTTGTGGTAGAGTTGTTTCTTTTTTATTCGCAGGAGAAATAAAAAGAAAATTGTTAATAGTTTCATTTTCATCGACAAAAATTGAATTCGACTCCACAGATGAAAAATTAAACGCAAACACTTGATAAGATTTTCTTAAAAATTTCTTGTTAAGTTAGTACAGTACATAAATCTTGTTATGGTCATTTACTGGACTACCTTGTAAATTTACCCTTTCTTCCTTCTCTTTTTAACTTCCATCAACCAAAATGATTAATTGACTCAATTAAATCGTTTCCTTGAAAGTACCGATAAATTAATGCAATACTACACTGACAAAGATATATATATACAGTCTAAAAATAAGATTCAATATTTTTACTATTAATCTAATTAGCATCGTCGTTAAGAATAACTTTTTTAACAACTTTTTCACATTTATATAAATTTATTATAATTTCAAGTTACACTGTAACTAAAAACTCAAAAAATTGTTGCAACTTTGGTCGCAACCCTGTTTATACAACAAAATGGTATGGTGTGTTTGATTTAAACATAATTCTTTCTGCCTAGTGCAAAAATGGAAAATAAATGACAATAATCCAAAAGCAATAACAAGTATTATAATCCTTTATGATGCAGAAATTCGTGAGCATATATCATTCTCGAACAGATAAACCTTTAGTGGAATGTTGTTTCTGAAATATTTGCAAAGATATTATATATATTATTTCATTATATACACACTATGTTTTCAATGTATATATGGTATATCTAACGAGTCACATTGACTGCTGGGCTCTCTTATTGCTGCGGAGAAAGAGAGACTCTTGCGGTCATTACATACTTCAACACGCAACTTGTGTATATAATATACCTTTAACATATAATTCACATGATTTTGTTGTACGGACTATTGCACTTATAAAGCGATATTAGAAAACCTGTTCAAGTTTGCAGAAGCTTTTTGATTTTGTATTCGCGAATTAAAACATCACGTGTATGCATTTCTCAATCGTAAATCATACATATACAAAGATTATACAAAGAAAATATTCTTCATATATCGTCGATTTTTTTTTTGGGTACAATTATTCGTTAAATTTCTTCATATAGGTATTTTTTCTTAGAGAGAGAAAATTATGATGAGATAATGTATTATTCACTTTGTTTTTTTTCTCTTTTTTGGTTGTTGAAATTACACTCTTCCCGGATATTCGAGATTAGTAATAATAATGTGGTAAATTTAGTAAAATTGGAGGGAAAATTATACACTGTGACAGTTGGATAAATTCTTTCTTTTGTTTGTGTGTTTGAAACTCTAAATCGTTTGTATATCGTTGATGATTGTTAATCTTAAATCCTATTTATAATCTAAATTAGTTCTAATTTCCTAATAATCCTGATTTCGGACATCATACGTTGAACATCTTAATTTAGTTCTAAATTTAGTTCTAAATTTTTTTCAGAACGTTTTTAAAATTCCGGCGCTTCTAATTTTAGAATTCTGTTGTTTATTTTACTTCTTATGATGTTTATTAAACTCCTAATGATAAATTTCTTAATTTCAGAATAAGTGAATGTTAATTTTATCTTGTAATCCAAATTGTTCTCTAACTGAAACATATCCAAAATCATAATCCTTAAGCTGAAAATAATTCCATTTTAGTATCACAATTCTAATTGATGTTGTTCTCTTTTTCTGGAAAAAAAATACTCTAGGTACTTAAAATAATCCTATTTGTAGTATTTCAATAAACTGTTTGTTATTCTCAATTCACAAAATATTTCTGGTACACCAAGAAGCACTTTTGCCTCTAGTATTTGAAGAAAGTAAAAATAATAATAATTTTAGTGTTTTCAAAAATGAATAATAAGAACAAATGTAGTGCTGTTATTAAATTCTGATATTATTATCAGAAAAAGAGAAAATAAGAACACCAAAGGTTAAATGAACTATAAACGAACTAAACGAATTAAAAGGAAAAAACAGAACAAAATTTCCACCTTTAACAGCAACAGGTTTCAATAGTAGTAGCAAAAATTTTCACCAGAATAAATATGCCACTAATGTCATTAATAAGGATCGTTATCTTTTAAAAACTAAAAGTTGTTTCTTCTAAAACACTTTCAAAAACATAGTAACGGTTTTTTTAAAACATCTTTTTCATATCCGATCATAAATAAATAGAATTAAGAGCGTAAAATCTTTCTCATCTATTTAACTAAAAAAGTCTCCTTTCTTTTTTTTTTGTTGTCTCTAATGTTTTGTCGATATCAACACACAGGAGAGAGAAAATAAAGAGAAAGCATTCGAATCACATGTATACAATAAGAAATAGAGCGAGTGACTTTGTATATACATAAAGAATATATAATGAGAAAATACTCTGGTCTACTCTTTGTGTTCATTTTTCACCTCTGCTTCTGATTAATGGTATAAAACATCGACCAAAACTAATGGGCTAACACACTATAAGACACAGAAATGCAAAAAAAAAAGTGAGAAAAACAAACGCGAAATCGCTCTCTGGCAAATGGAGAATGGACTTTGCAAAATTTCTCATGCAGATTGAGAGTTGCAAAAAATTAGAGTATTCTTTTTATTGTCAAGAATGGGTACGTGCTTGAATAGAACAGTTTTTTGATTTTGGATAACAGTTTCTAAAAAGAAACTGTTATCCAAAAACAATGAATGTTGGATGCATTTCAAAAAACTTTGGATACACAAGGATGGTATAAAAATTTAGTGATGATATAATTTCTATAGTGATAGTTGTCAGTTCCAACCCAGATTGTATTGGCTTAACATCTGTGGCATCATTAAATTTTTGTACTATCCTTCGATGGTAGATGATAACGGTACGGTATGGAGTAATATTTATTAAACTTTTGTACCATCCTTAAATGCTGAATAGTTACAATTCTAATTGTACCATTGCAGATTTTATACAAAAATTCAGCGATGCTACAAGAGTTACTTCAACTTTTGTAGCATCACCGAATTTTTGTACAACATCTGCAATGGTAGATTGTATCATGCACAATCCAAATGGTACGGAGTAGCAATTACAACAGCAACAAATGTTTGCATCATCCTTGGATGGTAAAGAATACCAGTTCCAATGCAGATTGTGAGGAGTAGCATCTGTAAAATCATTAAACTTGTGTGCCATCCTTAGATAATGAATGGCATCAGTTGCAAAACAGATTTCAAATTTTGGAAATAGTGATCGCACACAAAATACTTGTACAGATTTTTAATGGTATTCCAACAAATCTCAACGAAATACAATTTGCCAGAATAAAGAGCATGATTAGCGCAGCTATTATTCCACAATAATCATTGATCTCACAGTATAAATGAATTGAACCGACAAAACATATATATACTTTTTTCCGGAATATAATTGGATTTGAAGACAATATTCCTTTATTTCCTGGCGCAGTCACATTTTCCATTTGGCTATATACAGGTATAGTTCTAAAGTGTATTTTCAGGAAGCTGTGGTTTGTAATTGGATGTATGTTTTGCTGTGAGAGCGTTCAATATCAATTGGACGTTTGAAATTGAAGCGAACTGAGAAATTCTGTTTCCTGTTTCGAGTTACGCTGTTGCGCGTGTTATAAACAGAGTGTCGGATTGTGTAGGCGTTTGTGCCGCTTGACTGTCACATTCGCATGTATTTGTGTTCTATTGATCACCATATAATCTCTATTGTTCGACTCTATATTTATATATTTATATTGACGAGTAGTCAAAATAAAAAAACAGTATTTTGTTCGTTCGAAATAATTTCGATAAAATACTAGAACACACATACAACAATTTCCACAATGAGAGAAGAATGAAGAAAATTATTTTGTATTTACTTCTTCTCCTGAATTGCAAGAAATTTGTAGATTTATTTACGCTCGAAATGAAATAAATTTAAATTTGGTGAGAAAAATTAGGACAAAGCCGGGAATTTTGTTGAACAGAAATAGTAGACACCCTGACATGCGGACTCTATAAAAATAATACTGCGGTATATGAATTAACACAGGTGACTACATAGCCGATTCGGGTTTCGAAATTGAACCAAATCTCGTCTATTGCTAACAGACATTATATAGATCGTATTAGTCGTGTCAAATTGAACCAAAAACCGGATATGCACATGTGTGTACGAGTGTCTGTTTGTCCTGAAATTCATCTAGTGTTGAACCGCGCTCAATTTACAATTCAACACTGCGTTCGATTTTCTCTCTCTCTCTCTCTCTCACTCGGTGTTATACATGCTATATTGCCAAACCACGAATTTGTTAGAATAATAATCAAGATTGACGGAAATCCCTCTCAAGTGACTTTCGCTCCAATTATTTATTGCACAGTAGCTCATTCAGCTCGATTAATCTATAATCGTATGTGTTGGTGCTTAGTGATTGAATTTTATATATATATATATATATATAGCAAAAGTGCAAAACCGGCGAAAAAAGATAAAGAAAGAAATAGAGAAGAGAAAAAGTAAAAGCCTACTTAAAGCGAGCACTTGTATAATAAATGAGTGTACACTTTTGCTAATCTTGCTCAATTTTTTTCACAAGATTACTTTTCTCTCTCTCTCTCTCTGCTACTTTTCTCTGATAAAGCTTGTCTTCTTCAACTATAAAATATGCAACATAAAAATTTTGCTGGCAAATTCAATTTCTTATGAAACTGTATTTCATTGAAGAATATAATATAATGAATGAATATTCATATATATACGTAACTTATAATTTAGAAGAAATGCCTTAACCTTAAAATCTAATACTGAAAAAAATATAATTATAAAAAGTAGAAAAAAAACCTAGAGACAGAAAAAATGTAATGAAAACATAGCTCTATCGAAAAATTACACTTGACGACTCAATTTTTTTATAATTTCTTAATTACATTCAAAAATGGAAAATTTTTTAAAAATAAATATTAAAATACCGAATTTATTTTGTCTACATTAGAAATTTAAATATTTCAAATGATTTCAATGTAACGCATTTTTTAAATTAAACTATTTCTAAAAAATACAATAGTAATTCTGTCCAAACTTTAATCCTTTTATTTTATTCAAGTCAAAATCAATTCTTATTAGAAAGTTCTATGAGAATTCAATTATTTAAATACAAAAATAAATAATTTATTGAATAATTGAATATTTGTTAATTTTGAATTCTTATACAGAACTTTATCAACATTTTTTCAAATATGTAATTGAATTTTTACGAAGAATTGCATTAAAATTTTAGACAATAATTTAATTCTTGAGAATTTTTATATTTATCAAAATAATTTAATTTCGGGAAAGAATTTTATAAAAATTCCTTAAAATAATTGATTTTATGGGATGAATTTTGTTGTTTATCCAGATAATTGAATTTTTTTGCAGAATTAGTTAAAATTTTTTGAAAATAATTAATTTTTTGAGACGAATTAAAAGTTATTCATAAAAATATTTGAATTATTGCAACGAATTTTATTATTTTATTGAATAATTGAATATTTCCCCAAATTATTGAATTCTTTAGTCGCAAATTTTTCATAATACAATTTTTAAGAATAATTGCATTTTTCGTGAAATTTATTTAAAATTGTATTAAAAATATTTGAAATTCTGCGATGAAAATAATTGAATTCCTCAATGAAATTTTATTATTTATGAAAATAATTGAATGTTTTCGCAGAATTGTATCAACAATTTTTTTCAATAATTAAATGTTTTGATAAATTTTATAGTAGATATTGAAAATAATTGAATTGAGGAAAATGTTTGAAAATAATTGAAATTTTGCAAAGAATTTTATATTAATTTTTGAAAATAATTGAATTCTTGACGAGATATTCGTTAAAATTTTTAAAAATAATTGAATTTCTTCGAAGAATTTTATTACTTTTGAAAATAATTGAATTCTTGTGATGAATATTATGTTATTTATACGAAAATAATTGAATTTGCAAAGAATTTTATTAAAATTCCTAAAAATAATTGAATTCCTAAGAAGAATTTTATTTATAAAAATAATTGAATGTTTGCGAAGAATTTTATAAACATTTTTTTTTTTTAATTATTCATTTCTTTTGGGAAATTTTTTATTAAAATAATAGATATTAAAAATCGTTGAATTACGAAAAATTTGTGAAAATAGTTGAATCGTTTTTAAAGAATTTTATTAAAAATTTTGGAATTTTTTCCAATAAGTTTATTAAAATTTGTGAAAATAATTTTTTTATTTCAACTGTTAATAAATTCAAAGTAGTGTCGTAAGTTCTCAAACATGGAGAAAAGTAGCTTTTAGTGTATAACAAATAAAAAAAAGTATCCAAATAGTATCAAATCGTAAAAAGTAGTAAATAATAGGTTTTAGTAGATGAGTGCGAGCCCTGTATTAAATTTAAATAAAAATATTGAATAAAAAAATTAAGTAAAATTGAATTAAAATACCAGTTTGAAAAAGAAGATAAAAGAGAAGATGAAAATAATTTACTTGAAAATTTGGGTAATTAATAATTAACTGCTAATTGTCCAATTATTTTTTATTAATGAACTAATTAGAAAAGATGATTCGAGATAAGACTGTAAATTTTGAATATATAACCAAAAGTTCCTGCAGACAATGAATCAGACACCCATGCCACACCCACTCTTTTATATACAATATATCTATATATATGGTACTCCAACCATTGTTAGGAATGAAGCCCACGCAACGAAATTTGCCTTTGGCCTTGATTATTATTTTTCCTTATCAAAAACTAGTAAAATAATAATTATCATTCTATTAATTTCGTTTTTTGTCTCAATTTGATATCCGCAGAAAAACTGTGTTAAAAAAGAATGTAATATCAGTATATTATAAGTTTTCAATTTTTTTTATTTATGCGTCAATTTAATAAAATTAAGAGTACGGTAAATGTAGAAAAAAAACGAGATTAAAATATTACAGATGAAAGTAAATTTAATGGAGGGAAAAGTTGATTTGGAATTTGAAATTAGAATTGAAATCGAAATTAATAAGAGGCCAATAAACTAGTTTTTCAATTGATTAGAAATCCCTTTCTCTCTCTTTAGCTAAATTATATGACGAAATTGATCTTGAAACGGACAAGAAGATACCGTGAGAGAGACAAGTTTTATATAATGTGTATCGATATAATGTGAACAATTTTCACAGATTTTCACTTTTAACAACTTCGAGGACGCATAGAAGTGAAAGCCAGAATCTATATGTACGTGTGTACTGAAAACTCGGACAATTTAATATTAGAGCAATTTTCTTCGCAGCTATTAAGAAACGTGACAACTCTTAATATTGCTAGATGCGATATTTCTTTTGATAAAAATACTCCCGTATATTCTATCTTCAAATCTAATTTTGTTTCTAGAAAAAAGTTTCATTACTTTTCTAAATTAAATTATTATTATTATTATTATTAACAAAAATACATCGCATCGTTTATTATTAAACTATTATTAGTTAATATCTCCAAAGTTCAATTATCTTCATAAATGTCAAAAAAAAAATATTCTTGTCCTAATTTCAATTATTTTCAAAAATAAAATGCATGTTTATAATTTCAATGATTTTGGATATCTACCATTTTAATAAAATTTCCCCAAAAAGAATTCAATTATTTAAAAAAAATTTTAGTAAAATTTTATACAAGCATTTAATTATTTAAAATTTGAAAATTGTTTTTAAGCGAATTTAGTCAATTTTTACAAATTTTGGATATAACGGTTAATGTGCGTCGCTTATTTTAACTTTCCTGTTAGAATTTCAAAATTCAAAATGGCGGATGATTTTTCAAACGCATTGTCATTTGAAGTCGGAATTTTAATACTCGCCAGAGGTTTCTGCCTCAAGTATACAGTTTTTCTCACAGAATAATATATAATGAATAAAGAACTTTGCTGTGCAAAAAAAGTAAAAAAAAAAAAAAAAAAATTCTAAAGTTGGCGACAAATCCAGAAGCTCTCAAATGTTAAAAAAAATTACTTTGCTATTTCTCTTCAAGAGAGTATAATATAAATATAGACATCAAGAAAAGAATGCCTCCAGGGCCTATAGAGATTTTAAGAAAAAGTTAAATTTTATCCAAAAGAATAAGGATATCTATTATAATGTATACACGGCAATGTGAGCAGACGTTTTATCATTATTTTTTTTCTTCATTTTTTGCCGTATTATGCTTTTGTTCTTGTATTATTTTTTACATTTTTTAGAAGAATAAATAAGGCATTGTTGTAAAACCCACTCGGAATAATAATATGAGAATTAAGAAAGCTGCTGGGAACAATTTATTAACGACTTAAACTTAATCTCGTGTATAAATTTTCAAAAATTGTAATTTTACACATATTCTTCAAGATCTTGTACAGGAAAAAAAATTATTTATTATCAAAGTTATAAATTTATAATAATTTGAATGTTCTTTCATTCATATTCACTTTTTCTGTCCCTCATACTCTGAAGTTGTCTTTTGTTTATACTTCGACTCGGAGTTTTTCTAGTTTTAAGTAAAATGTTCCTTTATTTGACTCGTTATATTTTTGTCAGTTGGTCTGTAAAGTCCGTATGTATTTTTAAATACTTTCATACTGGTTCGAACCCTGAGACAATTAATTATAAATTTTACGAATATTATAATTATTAAGATGTATGACTCTTTTGTGATCCAAGTATTGCAATTAAATAAGATTTGTTTTGTGGTTCTTTAGGATCAGTAATTTGGAAAAGAAACTAAATTTTTTGTTCTTTAGACGTTTCGATCCTGGTTTGGATCCTCATCAGTAAATTTTATTAATTCTGCCATTCATAAATATTATAAATATAAACAAATAAATATGTACATTGCAGAATTAATAAAATTTACTGATGAGGATCCAAACCAGGATCGAAACGTCTAAAGAACAAAAAATTTAGTTTCTTTTCCAAATTACTGATCCTAAAGAACCACAAAACAAATCTTATTTAATTATAATTATTTGATTTTATTTGAAACTATATGTACTTGAAATTACTTGAATTATTATTGCATGGAGAGAAGAAAAAGAAATGTAATTCTCGTTACTTTTCTGATTACAGTGATTTCGATAGTTTGAACAAGGATGATATTTACGGAAACAACGAGTTGGCATTCAGGATTGCGGAGCAGCATCTGGGGATTCCAGCACTTCTCGATGCAGAGGACATGGCTTCGTGTGCTGTGCCAGATCGTCTATCGATTCTCACCTACCTCTCACAATTCTATCAATCCTTTGGAGGTAAGCAATTCCCAAGATAATAATATTCTATACTGTACACAATAGAATGACTTCTTCAAAAAGTACCATTTCGAAGTGCTCTTATTTTTTACAAAGTAGACAAAATTTACCCCCAATAAATTCGAAATGCTAATTCTTAGTAAATATAACGATATTATCGAATTTAGAAGAATACGACTGACTGGGAATTCCATTGGACGATGGTAGATTATTGTCGAAATTCCAATGGTAATTCCGGGTATGTAGTTAATTTTGGTGGGGAATAAGATAAACTTTTTCAGACTGGCCACCACTGGACACTTAAATTAAGTAGGAAATATTCTTACAATAAGACTGATATTCTAGAATCAAAAGGAAGAATTTTACTCCCTAAAATAAAAAAAGAAATTTTCATTTATTGAAGTAGAATTGAAATAAATTCACTCTTTAGGGTTAAAAACAAGACTTTTTTCCCTTGGGGTAAATATATTTTAATCCTCTTTGAAAGAAAACAAAGGCCCATTTATTATCTAGATGAATTAATATGTATTTTGTTTTCTCATAAACTCTCGCCGGCATACTGTTCGAGAGCAGGAATATGAAAATAAGAAGAGAATAGATTTTAGCGTTGATGGGCATTTAAATTTAAATCTCGTTCACATCGTTTCGGTCGCCCTTAATTCCTGTAATTAATTCTGGTTCACTTTCGCTTTATCATACGCTCCCGCACTGTAAACTTGCTATAAATTAACTTCACTCGGTTCACTATATTTTTTAAAACAATTATTTAATATTTAATAATCACAAATTGTTATTGTATTTAACGATAAATGTTCTATTATTTCTATTTATAATTGAAATTTTTCTATTGACTAATTAATTTAATAGTCCATTGGAAATTAATTAATTTAGTATTTTATTATAATCAATTAATATAGTATTTCATTATAAATTAATTAATTAACTATAAATTTATGAATTATAATCAGATTTCTATTAAATTGACGTTAAAAAAAACTGACACAGTGGGAATCGAACGCACTAACCACGAAGCTACCACACAAATTTTTTCAAACAGTTCCCTCGACTTCTTTCAAATCGAATAACTTTTGACAGACATAAGCAAAGATAAAGCAAAAAGAAAACGAAACAGTGCGATAAAAGAGCGAAAAAAGAACTCGAAAACTTATCAAAAAGTGAAAAATTCGAGTTTTTAATTGTAAGAAAAATAAAGTTTTAATAGAGTTTTTTTAAAAATAAAATTAAATTATCATTTATAGGTACAATGATGAACAGGTGTGGTGCGCACATATAAAAGTAAAACAACAATTTTCAAAGTCTAATTATTTTTCTTGTTTCAATGCTTGATCGTAAAAATATTTTCAAGCTCTCGCGCGACAAACGACAACGACAACGCAATAATTATTCTTTTAGAGCAGAGAGAATATTATTATAGAACTAACGCATAATTCTAGAGCGACAAAGTGCGCAAACTAATTACATCGTAAATGTGAAAGTTTCAATTGAATTGCACTATTTACAGCAAGTGAGTTGGAATATAAATTATGAAAAATTCCTCCCCTCCAAAGTAATACAAGATTTTTTTTTCTTTTTCACTTCTATATGCAGCAGCAGCAGCAGCAGATTATGTTATATAGCTTACATTTGAAACATCATTAATTCACTCACTCTTCTCTCATTAATAGTAGTTAGATTTGTAATCACTGTAAATCCACTCTCTTAATAAGTAATTATTCCCTTTGCATCTAAATTAGTCACTTTTGATTATATATGGGTATGTTATAAACGCCCAACCATGTAAAGTTCTCTCGAAATCAAAATTTAGATTAGATAAATTTTAGAAATATTCGTTACGATCAAAATTGCGAATAATAATAATTAATTTACTGGTGCAAAAAAAAGAGAAACTTAAATAAATTCAAATCAAATTGCTAATTGGATGAATACCATTGATTACTTTCAACAAACTTTTTAAACTCAATTCCTAACGTGATGCACTTATAATAATACAAAATTATAAATAATACAAATTTGATGAAAATTGTATTAAAAATAATTGAAAATAATTGAATTCTTGAGACGAATTTTATGAAAATTTCTTTTTCAATAATTGAATTCTTTTTTGCAGGTTTCCAGCTTGCGTGAAAAGCCTGTAATTGTAATTTTTCGAAATTTTGAAAATTTATAAATTTGACTCATTATTTCCGTAAACTTTTATATAATTTCCTGTAAAAAAGAATGTTGTCAGGGAGAATAATTTGAATGTCAGTAAATTGTCAGGGAGATAAACTGAAACTTGTGACCACCATCCTGTTTTTGGGAAAATGACTCTGATAATAGAAAAAGGTAACAGTGATGGTGATGGTTAAGGAGGAAAACTTGAAATTACACTTTAAAGCTTTGTATTGAAGATAGGAAGGACGTGAGTTTAGGTTGTGAAAACGTCGTATCACATTACATTTGGCACATTTCACTCTCCCATCCCGTAAATGGGTTGCTAAACGAACCAAATAGGGCAGAAACTGGCACTCGTCCAGTACACATTGAGAATTACTCTCGTGTACGTATACTTTCTCTGTGTACTCCTCTAGTCTTAATCTTAACCTTACTCTTTGGCCTTTTTTAGTTTCTTCATTTTCTTAAACAGGATTCTTCAATCTCAACCAGTTGTTGATTCACTAGGTTCAAAACTTTATTTACCCAGTTTTGGTCATTCTATACCATTTTAGATAATTTTCAAAATTCAAAATTTCACCCAATAATTTATATAATTGAAGAAAAGTTTCAATCAACAACATTTTAGCAAAACGGAAAATTTTTTATTTCAATAAAATTTGGCCAAGTGACGTATTTAGTTTTCTTCAGATTCACTTGAAAATAATAATTTTATCTTTATTTTTTAATACACTGAGAAAAATGGGTCAATTTCCAAACGAGTTAATCAAACTTATACGTATTTATAGTCGTGATAATTGTTTCAATTTAATTGTTTCTACTCCAATAAATAAAGTTAAAGTTAAAATACATAATTTACACCTAATATCAGTTTGCAACAAAATTTTCAATTAAATGTCTAAATTATATAAATGTATTAATTAAAATTATATACGAAAATTCGAGGATAATTTATAAACTTGCGTATAATTAAACAAAATTTTAATTGCACCATCGTGTATTTATTCGCTATAATTTATAGGATGATTTATCATATATGCAAATGCATATATAAAAAAAATTTTTATTCTCAAATCGTGCGTGTATATTGTGTACTTAAAAACACGGCCAAAGTTCATATATACCATTGACTAGCCTCTAGCTCCATTCACTTTCTCTTCTTGTCACAAAAAAAACTTTTACAGCCAAGGGGCTAATTTTTTTTCATTTCAGTTAAATAAAAATCCTAGAAAATCGTTTATATAAATTATAAAAGAACAAAAATCAACTCAAACGTTTTTAATTTTTCTTCAAAGTATCCCCCTTTTTTATTATTTCAGTTTTATTGTATTATTTATTATTTTATTCATTCATCATTATTCAGGGCTTCCAAGCAATTTGGAAAACTTGGAAAAGTCAGCGAATTTTCATTGAAATCCTGGAAAATTGTTGTATTCTAAAGTTATTATGTTTATTCTTCAAATCTAACAAATTTTTTTCAAAATAATTTAAATAAAATTCTTCGTAGAAAATTAGTTAATTTCAAAAATTTGTCAAAATTCTGCGAAGGAGTTTATTAAAGTTTTTATAAATAATTTAATTTTTATTTTGAAAAATTTTATGAAAATTTAAATTATTATAAAACATGAAGATATTCATGTTTTATAATAAATAATAATAATAATTTTCTTATGTTATTGAATTTGAAAGTTTTGAAAAATTTTAATTCCTACGGAAAAATAATAATGATTAAATATTTATTTAAAAAAGAAGTTATTCATGTTTTCGAATAATTTTACTTTTGAAGAAATTTCTAAATGGAATAGAACATTTTTTTGTTTATCTAATAATCATTTTGGCAGTGAATAAGAATATTCTTTAGAATTAGGGTATTAGTCAAAATTTCGGATGGAAATCAGGAAAAAGTCTAGAAATCAGGGAGTTTTTTAATCTTTTTTTTTTATCATGAAATTTATAAATAAAATATTTAATAATTACTTTAGCTATAAATTAACCACATGAATGAAGACGAAAGAAAATTAAATTCGCAATTAAATTACGTAGATATGAGAAATTTCTCTCGCTAAACAATTGAAGTCATAAGTTTATAGTTTTATTGAAACTATAGAAAATATAAAGAGAGAAAATCGAATATCTAATAAATTATTTATTCGTGTCCAGTAAACAGGATTAATGCCCATTTGTGGTGCGCAATATTATCCGTGCAGTGAAGGGTTATTCGCGTATAATTATTGTGAAAGAAAAACTGTCTAGATGGCACACGTTCAGTAAGCGCAAGATTTATGTAAACATCTATCTGATGTTAATTTTCTCTCTCTTTTTCTCTCTCAGTGCATTAAGAGAGACCTTATGCAATACATATTTATTTACTTATATACAACAAGTTTGTTGTTGAAATAAAAAAAATACAGATGCACCCAGTAAAGTCTCCTTTTCACAATAAGAATAAATGGAATAAATGGAAAAAATTTTTTCTCACCTATTCGACGCCGCGTCGATAATGACAAAATTTATTTTAGAAAAAAAAACACAAGCGTTTCGTAATCACTTTCATCCTCTATGCATTTATATATATGCAACCGACCAGATCGACAAGAGAAAAGGGCGGAAGCTGAATTTATTTACAACACGCGAACCTTTAAAAAAAAAGAAAAAAAAGAAAATAAACAAAAAAAAACTTCCTAGCCATATACATATATGGAGGATGGTATAATAAGCATTTTGATTGGCGAAAGTTTTGCCAAACGCTCTACTCCGAGTCGTCGACGTTGTGGTCTCGTAATCAACGCTCAATTAACATATAAAAGGCTTTCAACTTTAAAAAAATCATTCTTGTCAATTATTAACATATCATGCGCCAGACTGTATAATTTTTTTTTATTGAGTTATTATATATTTTACAAATAAAATCTGACTTAGTCCCGCACTCTCTATAAATTAAAATAAATGAATAAAAATCAAAAATAAATTTTCGATTTTATAATATAATAATAATAATAATAATAATAAATGTCTGTTTTGTATAAGTATTTTTCGTTGTTACACTCTAAACGATGAAAATAAGTTTTTGATCCGCAGACAAAGTTTCTTTTCTGAACATGGAAAACTTTTTTCCGCCACCGAAAAAACGGCGATGATTTATATACATATATATATATAATATATATAAAGAAAAGAGAAAAGCAAACGGCGAAAGACTTTAAAAGTTATTTCAATTTTCTTTTTCTGCCGCGCTTAATCCATATTTAAACTTTTCTCATTTAAAATTTTTTTGTCCTTTTATTTTCGTGAAATTTAAAAAGCATTTATTTAATACTTCTTTTAAAATAATAAAAGCGATTATAATTGCCCATTAGTTAATTAATCATTAAGTATTTACTGTTATAATAAAAATAAAATACTGTTAAAATAAAAATAAAAATAAAATACTGTGAAATAAAAATAAAAATAAAATACTGTAATGACAAAAATAAACTGCAACAACTATTAACAACTAATCGGGTAAAATAATAATTATCATCAATTTAATAAAAAAAATTTAATCTTGTGGTGTGTAGAAAAGTTGACCGATTTAGAATTTGCAACTAATTTGAGTTTAAAATTAATATATATATAAAACATTGTTCTCGTAATCTAATTAAAAAGTTTTAACTTTCCATCAGAAAATAGTAATCGCTTTCTGTAAATTATACTTGATTTCTAATAATTAACAAGCTTTCCAATTATTTTTTTTTATTTTTTTTTGTAATAAGTTTTATTGTTCACATTACTAACCTGATTTTCACAGAGAAAGTTATACAATTTAAACTCAAGAGCTTCCATTTATAATGAAATTCCCCCCCCCCCTCCCTGTGTTTTTATTTTTCCTTTTTTGCCTATTGTATCTTTTTTCTATAAAAAAAAGGAATTCTTTTTCTGCTTAAGGAATAACTTATGTAACATATCAAGATAAAAAGAACTGTTCGCCTTCAAATTTTCAAATTCATTATTCGTTGCGTAATTTCAAGATTCAGATAAAGGGGAAATTAATAATAATAATAATAATAATAATAATAATAATAATAATACATTAATTAATTATTTATTTGATTCATATTTTCAAATATATATTATTTAATATTATTATTTATATATAATTACAATTCAACTCTTGATTTATTATATAATTAAAACTAATATTTTTATTATACAAAATTTTCAATTTACAATTATAACTTTTTGAATAATTTCATAATAAAAAATTTTAAAAATTCACTTATTAATTACAAAATTAATTATTATTGTTTATATTTTCAAAAATTTTAATAAAACTCTTCGCAAGAATTCAATTATTTTTATAAATAGTAAAATCTTTGGTAAAATTCAATTATTTTCAATAAAATTCCACGAAATAATTCAATTTTTTTTATAATTATTTTTTTGAATAGTATAATCTTTGCAAAAATTCAATTATTTTCTAAAATTTTCCAAACTTCTTCGAAGACACGATTATTTTAAAAACTTGAAAGAAATTGTTTATAAAATTCAGTTACCTACTGTAAAAATTTTCAATTAAAATTATTAAAGAAAATCGAAAAAGAAAATTGAAGGAAATTCTTCAAAAGAATTTAATTAGGATTTTTAAAAATTTTTTTGCAAGAATTCAATTATTTTCATAAATAATAAAATTTTCTCGAAGAAATTCAATTATTCTGAAATTTATTGATACAATTCTTTTATCAAGAATTCAATGATTTTCAATATATTCATTTTAAAATTGAAATTATTTAAAAAGAAAATTTATTTAAAAAGTTAAGAAACAAAAAAGCAAACAATAACTACCTTCAAACTGGGAACATATTACTGGAATATCAACGATTATTAATAATATAGATGTAATCTGGAATATTAATTTTAACAATTAAAATTAATTAATATGTCAAGAGACAAATTAGAGCAAATATACTGCGCAGGTCAACGGGAGGAACCTAATCTAATGATTTAGGTCAAAATTCACAAATTAAATGTCAAAAAAATAGAAAATTTGATTATTATATATTAATTAAGCGACTGGATAACTGACTATTTTTTTATTTTTCAGTTTCATCACCAACTCGACTGGCCCTAAATCGAACAACTGAAAGTTCCTCCGAAAGAATTGCACCAGTACCAGAATCTCCTAAACCGAAGGTAATTATTATCGCACTTTATCAATAATTTTATTATTATTTTTTCCCTGTTCCTCTTTTATTTTAATTTATTTCAATAAAAAATGCTTTTTCCCTCTAACTTTTTCTTTGCCGGCATTTTAAAATTATGATCACATTGCTTTATTTTGTACTGCTCTGTTTTCATTTAATAGAAATAGAAAAAACTTTATTTAAAATTTTTTTTTACAATAGCGGCTAAATTAATTACTAATTAGTGTTTAATCGATCTTTTGGGCTTTAAATATGTGTGTAAATGTATCATCACTTTAATGAAATGTGCAATTAAATGCTGCAGGCAAAAATTACATTTTAGTCACATACACATATGAATATGTGTATAATTTACGAAAAGCCGTCAGCTCATGTTTCCAATTCATTAACAGGCTTTTGAACCATATATGCATTATATACAATGTAGTCTTATGTGTGTATAATCCTTGAAAATCCTCTAATGAATTTAATTTTCAACGAAAGTTTCAAGAACCAATTTACGTTGAAATTTATGATCCCCCTCTCCATAATAGCATATTAATATTTCACGAAATTATAATATTTATAATAATTATAATAATATATATAATATAAATTATCTCCTGGCTCCTCTTTTGCCCTCTCCAATCTATACTTGGCATTTTCTCCATTTTTCATATAATATGCATAAACAGTTTTGCCTTTTTAATAAATTAATAACTTTCTCTAAAGAAAGGAAATATAATTCTAATTCTAATTGCAATTGTAAATATAAATATAAAAATTAAAAATCGGATGTCGATAACCTAGATTTCTATAAAACCGACTATCGATAACATAGGTTTCTATGCCAACGAAAAAGTTTAAAATTCTTCATTTCGTATTTTAATACGTAATGAAGAATTCTAAACTTTTTCGTTTTAATTTTCCCCGTGTTGAATCGATTTAAATTTAAATATTTTAACTGTAATCGTTAAAAAGTTTTCACTGCTTTAAGTAGCCCTTGGTAAAGTAGATTTAAATATTTTATCGATACTCTGGAAATCAATTCTGTAGATTTTTTTTACTGGCCACTTGGGTGAAACGTTTTTATATTTATACTGAATAAAGAATATATTCGTCTTTTTTAACGGTGATAGATTAATGAGTTGACTATATATCGTATTTGCAAAGCGTAAAGTGAATTTAACCCATTTTTTTTATTATCGTTCCTCGATAAAAATGGATTTTAATTCTTTATCGACTATTGGAACTATGAAAATCAATTCTTAAGAGTTTTATTGGTAAAGTTATTGACGTTCGATAAAGCAAAACTTTTTTTTAACGGTGACCGGTAAACACTATTTTACTGGCAATCGGTAAAGCAGATTCCTAGTTCTTGCGCTATTAAATGTAATATTTATATTTATAACATTATATTTAAATAATATCTTATCATTTAATACTTATAGTGAATGTCTGTCTATCTGTCTCTGGGTGTAAAAATAGAAAAAAAAGTTTATTAACATAGCATCTAGTCTAATTTTCATTAACTATTTAATCAATTGGTTTTTATTTTATGCAGGGCTCGAACTAGATCCGTAAATCCCGTAAAGATCCGTAAATTTGCTTCAAGTCCGTAGAAGGCAGTTTTTTAATAAAAAAAGTTTGTAATTTGGTAGAAAAAGGACAAAAAGTTCGTAAATTGTACGATATAATTGAGAAAATTTTAGAGAAATTTCAAATGATTGCAGAAATTCAATTATTTTCAAAAGTCATCAAATTCTTCGCAGAAATTCAATTATTTGCAAAAATTAATAAAATTCTTCACAGGAATTCAACTATTTTCCAAAAATAATAAAATTTTTCGATGGAATTCAATTATTTTAGAAAAAATAACCAAATTCTTCAAAGGAATTCAATTATTTTCAAAATTTATTAAAATTCTTTGCAGATATTCAATTATTTTGAAAAATTAATAAAATTCTTTGGAGGAATTCAATGATTTTTTAAAAATAAGAGAATTCTTTGTAAAAATTAAATTATATTCAAAACTTTTAATGAAATTCTTCACAGTAATTAAATTATTTACCAAAATAAATTGAATTCTTTACAGGAATTGAATTTTTTTCCAAACAATAAATTCTTCCATAAAGTTTTCACAGGAATTAAATTATTTACCAAAATTAATTGAATTCTTTACAGGAATTGAATTTTTTTCAAAAAATAAATTCTCGCATATTTAATAGAAAAATATTCTAATAATTGAAATTTTCTAAAATTAAATTGTAAAGAAATGAATTTGAAAAATCACAAAAAACTCTTTCCAAAATTATTATAAATAATTATAAATAATGGATTTAAAAAAGAATTTTAGTTAAAAAAACACTAAAAAAATTATTTATTTTTGTATTTAAATAATTGAATTTACGTTGAATATTTTTATAAAAATTGATTTAAAAATGAATGTCAGTTGATATTTTAGATAATAATTGAATTCAATTATTTTCTTAAATATAATAAAATTTTTCTCAGGAATTCAATTATTTGAAAAAATGTTATAAAATTCGTTACAAGAATTCAATTATTTTCAAGAATTTTTTTTAATTCAATGATTCATTCAATATTTACTATTTTAATCAAAATTTTCAAAAGAATTCAATTATTTAAAAAAATTTTAATAAAATTCTACGCAAATATTTTATTATTTTCATAAAAAATAAAATTCTTTTTAAGAATTCAATTATTCGTAAAATTGAATATTGTAAATAAATTGATTTAGAAATCTGTAATAATTGGTCCGTAATTTTTCATTTTTGGTCCTTATTTTGAAATACTTTGACTGGTTCGAGCCCTGTTTTATTGTCTGACAATTACTGTTTTTTCTACTTAAAATTGATTGTTTTTTCGTAGAGTGTGTATTAATTTTCATTCATTCGTATATTATTTTTGACTCAAAAACAAATATAATATTATTTTTCTTTTTTCACAAGAATCAAGAAGCGAACAGTATTCTGTTTATAAAGGAACGTAATATGAAGGAAAAACGTTTTTGTAGTTCCTAAGCAATTTTCATTCTTGAAATCATTGTGTTTCATCATCGTGATTCAGCCTGAGCCACCGACATAGCGGATATAGTAGTAGTGATAGTAGTAGTAGAGTGGGCGAGAATATCTCACAAAGGCTCATCTCTTTTAACTCAACTTTCAATCTCAAAGCCATTGTAAAGTGAAGTTCATTAAAATTACTAGTTTCCCTTTTTTGGAACTGAAATGGAATTTTTAATAGTTCCGTCTCACTCTAATAAAGAAACTTTCACATTTTCTTAATTACATGTACACATATATTATATCTTATATCTATACACATTTTAATTTCCTATTTTATCATCTTCAGTATTAACATACGATATACGAATTTATCTCACTTTATTGACTTTTAATTGCATTATTATTTTTTTATAGTTGCATTTTATTACCTTTTAAAATTCATTAGGTTTTCTATGATAAATTTTTATTTAATATATCAGATTCCATTCATTATAAAATTAATAAGCAGCGACAATAATTATTAATAGTAAACAAAAAATTTATTTTTTTATTGCAAAATAATAATAGTAAAAAAATTGATTTTATTCAAATCAAATAAATTACACCGATTACTTGACTAATTCAAGTAAATATTCAAGTAAATATTTACTTCAATCAACTAATTTTTATTTTAGTCAATTAAATGGTATTTGCTTCAAACACTGAAAATATTGCTTGGTTCAAATACAATTTAATTAACTCAATAAATAAAAATTATTTGATTCAAGTAAATATTTAATTGATAATTGTCAAGTAATCCGTTATTTGAATTAAATAAATTTTTTTTCAGTTTAGTTATTTCAATTCGATGTTTAAATAATTTTTTCATATTTGTACTGAATTTTTGTTGCTTCGTCTTCTAGAATTTATTTAATTCTTAAATAGAAAAGTTAATTATATATTAAGATTTTGTTTTCTTTAGAAAAGGCAATTGTTGTTACTTTATTTTTTATAATCCGTATGATAATGCAATTATTAGTTCATAATATGCGTTGGTAAAAAAGATTAAATGCGTAGGCAATAGAAAAATAATTTTTAACTTAAAAAAAAATAATACAGAAAAAATTAATCTTTATTTTCTTATCTTTATTAATTAAACAAGATTTATTCGAAATTGCGTTTGCAAAAGAATAAAATAAGACTATAAATCAAAATAAATATATAAATCATATCAGAATGCACTATACAATATACATCTATTTGAGTTGAAAGCTTTCGACATTACAATAACAAAAGAATTTCTATAAGTCCATATACAATATCAATATGGGCAAAAATATCTTTGACAATAAAAATTTTCACTTTCCACTTTATATATTTTATTATTCCATGTGGTATATATTAATGGCTCAAGGATAATTCACATATCTATATATTTATATTTAACACGCGTAGGCGAACTAGAATAACGGGAATTTCAATTTTTTTTGTCTCCTTTCAAAATAAAAAAAAATTACATAACAATGTAAATTATAATATTTAAACTTTTCATTGTTCGATGGCAAAAATACATATGACAAAATTAAAATTACATTTACTATTATTTTTTTCTCTTTTTCGACAGACGGAATGCAAATTGTTTCCCTTTTTTCTGTATGTCGTTCATTTTTCTCGAGCATTTAAAATTGAAATGTAGACAGTTTACTGTGAAATGAATTTGTGATTTTTGGTGTTCTGAGGGAAAAAGTTTTTAATGAACAAAATTTTTTTGTCTTTGAATTTTAAAAGGGGTGAAAAAAAGAAGAATTGAAAATTCAATTGTTATATCATTATTTTGAATCCATCATGCAATAAAAAATTATACACTGAAAAAAATGATTCAAATAACCAGTCCGAGTCAAATAAGAAAACATTTTACTTAAAACTAGAAATTCAAATTTTCAAGAATTTTTAACTAAAATTCTTCTTTAAATCTAATTATGTATTTTTAATAATTTTCGAA